CCCCAAATCCCCAGTAGATAGTTGTATGTCATAGCTGCACATTCTTCTAGTTGCTGTATGTGGGACACGGCCTCAGCATGGCCGGAGAAGCGGTGTGTCAGTGCGCGCCCGGGATCCGAACCCGGGCCGCCAGCAGCAGAGCGCACGCACCTAACCACTAAGCCACAGGGCCGGCCCTAGAAGGGCCTCTTAATAGCTCTGTTTGTACCGAGCTAGTCAGATTCTCCAAGGGCTCCAGGAGTTCTGTCTCCTCAATTTAGAATATACCAGTTTGGTTGTGTGTAGTCCTGGTGTCGAGGGGAACACATAGCAGCTGCCCTATTGTGGAAGGTGAATGTGAGATTCAGATTAGAACTAGAAGGGGTAAAAGTGTCCATTGTAGAGAACTAATGATACCTGCCAGCTGGGGACTATTTGGGTCATAGGAAGAGTAAGACCCAAAGGTGACTGCCTGCCTGTCTTCTCCAACCTGAGCTGGCTCTGCTGGCAGAACTGAATCTGTGTTCTCTCTCACAGGCAACTGCAATGTCTGTGGACTGTCTGGGGCAGTATGCAGTGCTTTCGGGGTAAGTGAGCTTGCACAGTTTGCCACGATTTCTGGGAATAAATTGTAAATCAAGAGGTTTCTGGGAAATTGGGAAATACTCTTATATTTAAGGATTATGGTCATAGGGTTTAGTTCTGCTATCCTAGTGACCTCAGGGCTATTTATAGAGATTATTTGCAGTTTATTTTTGTCTTTGCCCTAACAGATAAGCAATAAAATTCCTTTGAAATTTCAGTGACTGGTAATTTGGTCTTGAAATTGCAATTTTCTGTTTACTGCACAGACTCTTAAGAAAGATGCTATGTGGCACAGTCTGACAGGTAGTTAGTTACTAGGATTGAGGGGATGGGGTTCTAGATTGGCAGTGCCATTAATTATGAGCCTCTGGACATTTATTCAATTGGCCTTCCCTGGACTTGAGTTTTCTCATGGAGAAATTTGATTTCATCACGAAGAAATCGAACTACATAATTTCTGTGGTGTCTTCTGGCTCAAAATTTTTAAGATTCTGGCAATTAAGGGCCATCCGTGCATTTGCTAATCCCCTATCATTGTACCAACATGATAAAAATTTAATGTTCAGGTCCTCTCTTCCTTTTCATATTACTCCATATCACTACTCCTACCACTTAAATTCAGCTGTGTTTTCATTAACTTTGCTGTTCATGAACCGATTTGTAAATCAATGAAGTACTTTCTTTTCTATTAACTTCATTATTTTATTTTGAAATCATGTTTTAATTTACCTTTAAAAAAAAACACATAGCAAACATTTAAATAATTCAAAAGGTTATACAGCGGAAAGTAAATTTCCCTCCTCCCTCTGACCCCCATCCCCAGAGACAGTTATCGATACCATTTTCTGATGTGGCTCTGGATGCATAGATAAGGAAAAATTGGTGTCTCTTTTCTGTCCCTCCCTATTCATTTCTTCTTTTGTTTTTTTTGGTGGAAGATTAGCCTTGAGCTAACATCTGTTGCCAATCCTCCTCTTTTTTGCTGAGGAAGATTGGCCCTGGGCTAACATCTGTGCCCATCTTTCTACTTTATATGGGACGCTGCAACAGTATGGTTTGACAAGTGGTGTGTTGGTCTGTGCCCGGGATCCTAACCTGTGAACCCCGGGCTGCCAAAGTGGAGCACGTGAACTTAACCGCTACACCACTGGGCTGGCCCCATTCACTTCTTTTTTTAAACAGAATTATATTGAGATACAGTTCACATATCATACAATTCACCCATTTAAAGTGTACAATTCGATGGTTTTTGGTATATATTATTAATTTCCTACTCAGTTTTTAAAACTTTTTTTTTTTTAATCAAGGAAATACCTATACATAGTTTAAAGACTCAAGTAGCACTAGAAGGCTTACATTGTCAGATAGTGGAATCTTACCTCAATGTTTCCCCACCCCTGATCCCATTCACCAGAAGCAATTACTTGAGACACTTTTAGCTATTTCTTTTGGATTGCCTCCATTTTTTTCAAATAATATACCTATACTGCTTTATTGTGATTTATCCATTATAGATATGACAAATTGACTTCTACAATAGAAGATGAGAATTTAGCATTTTTACTTTGCTCTGTGGGTCCCTTACATACATTCCTAACCTTCCCCTTCCTTCCAATATAGTTATATAACAATTGCTAGGTTGAATCAGTATTTGGGGTTCTTTTTCTCAGAGTTATTGGTGAGAGATCCTAGGCCATTCTGATTCTGGACTCTGTATGTGACCTATTTTTTCTCTTTGGAAGCTTTAAAATCTTATCTTTGTCTCTAGTGTGATCTTCATCTCTAGTGAGTGTGAAATTTCCACCGTGATTGCTTTGGTGTATATCTTTTTTCATTCACTGCATTGGGCACTTAGAGGGCTCCCCCCTTTTTTTACAATATGACTTGTTTTCTCTAAACAAATAGAAGCATAACATACACTTAGCATCATGTAGCCGTATTAACAACCCTTAAAATGCTCTCAGGTGCCCTGGAATAACTGTGTCTCAAATGTTAGACTTCTTAGTTCACTGAGGTGGGTATTGTCATTCATAGCATTCTAGGAGAGAGTGGGATTACGTAACTGGTAATCATGCAAGTGTGCCTGTTTAGGTGTGTTCTTAGATATGTATACATCCATATTATTTTTCAATGTGATCTTAAAGTTCACTGTTTCATTTTCTTATGTTGAACCTTAAAATATGTGTAATAAAGTGTGTACTTAAGTGAACAGCTCAAATAAATTTACAAATGTATACACTCATGTGATCCTTGTTCAGATTAAGATACAGAACAATTTTTAGCACCCGGGAAAACCCTTTCAGTCTGCAAATCTGTGTCTTTTAGTTTGGAGAGATTTTCCTGCATTATGTCTTTTTTTTTTTTTTTTTTTTTGCTGAGAAGGGTTTGCCCTGAGCTAACATCAGTTGCCAATCTTCCTCTTTTTGCTTGAGGAAGATTCGCCCTGAGCTAACATCTGTGCCAGTCTTCTTCTATTTTGTATGTGGGTTGCCACCACAGCATAGCCACGGATGAGTGGTGTAGGTCCTTGACTGGGAACTGAACCTGGGCTGCTGAAGCGGAGCATGCCAAACTTAACCACTAGGCCACGGGGCTGGCCCTGCATTTTGTCTTTGATAATTTCCCCCTCTGTTTCCTCTTCTCATTGTTTCTGGAGCTACTGTTAGTCCATGCTGGATATCCTGTATGGATTCTCTTTTGGTCTTTTTGTTTTGCATTCTGGAAGTTTTCCTCAACTTGAACTTCCAACTCTTCTATCAGGTTTCTTTATTTCGACTATTATTTTAATTTCCAAGAGCTTTTTCTTGTTCTCCGTTCTTTACATTGTCTTCTTATATCTCTCTGAGAGTATTAATTCTAGGTTTGTTTCTTTTTCCTCTGTGCTACCCGTTTCCTTTTTTTTCTTTTGATTGTGTTGGTCTCTGTCTTTCTAGTGACTGATGGTCATGGCTCTCTGTTCATATTAAAGGGATTGGAACCTCTGTTTACATGGGTGATGGTGGGGTTCACCATAGGGAGACCAGATGGGAACCAGGCCTTTTTGTTGGAGGATCCCAAATGTCATTATCTCCAAGGTTTTGTTGTTATTGTTATTTGTTTGTTTGCTTTTGTTTTTTCTTGGGCTGGTCATTTCTTCCTGAGAAGAATACTTCTGTCACTAATCCCTGTCTGAAGACTAAAAGCAAAGCGTCAGGAGTGCTGAGTAGGGGAAAAGGCCTGAGGACCTCACATTGCACTTCATGCTCTGTGCTGAGCGCAGCTCCTCCGCTTTGCTTCTGCTGTGCCTCTTGTCCCAGGCCTGGCGCTTCTCTGAAGTAGTTTCTCTAAAGCACATCACCCACCCTGTACCCTGATGAAGAAGAGGTGGTCACCTGGCTCTGTGGATGGGCGGAAACCACTGTCCTTAGCACTCTTTCAGACAATTCCCCTTGTTTTGTTGTTTTGTGCTGCTTTTGGTTCTCCAGCCCTCTCTCCCCCCCTCACTTGTCGACTGAAGCCTCCAGTCCCTGAGCCGTCCTGGGTTCTGCAGTGTGAATCAGCTTGCTTCTCGTTCACATCCCCTTTGCAGGCACTTTGGCCTTAGCTTTCTTTCCTCTAGATCAATTACCATGTGTCCATCCACTTTTCATTTCTACTCGCATTGTCTTTGTCTTTGTGGATTTCTGTCTTTTATGTTTTTACTCTTATTTTAGTGGGTCTTCAGTGGGAAATGAGGACAAACGTGTATGTTCAGTCAGGCATATTTATCCTCAAGTGCCCGCTTTCTGCTTTTCCGCATTTGCTCTGTGACGTCTCTAAACTCCCCTGTTGACACACACCCCGTATGTGTAGCTCTTAGCCTTTTCCTGGCCTTTGTTCTGATGGGAAGGTGCCGTCCTGCCTGCCTCAGGGTCAGGTGATTCCTTCGGAGGAGGTCAGAGGTTCTGGATCTTTGTTCTGCACCAACTTTCTTAGAAGTCCTGGAATTCTGTGAATTTGTGTCTTACCTGTGTTTTCCTTCTTCTCCCTTAACCATCCCTCCTCGAGTTTCAGCTAGAGTCTTACATGCCACTTTAGCTTTCCATTTCCTACCTCTTCTGAGCAGGGACTGTTCTCTTCCTTCATTATTGAGCCCACCTATCTTCGTTGATGTCCAGGGGCTTGGAGTGCCATCTAACGAAGAATCGGCAGCTGATGGCTGCTGAGATGTTGATTCACACACCAAAGATTTTTTACTTAAAAGGGAAATAGGCAAACATATGACATCCCTGTTTTCAGATTCTTTATGTTGATTGGCACCTTGAACATTATTGTCACTTAATATGTTATTTTAATTATTATTATATTTTGGTTATTATTTCCCCTCCTGATAGATTTAATTTAGTTTCCTTCACCAAGTAGTCCACTTGCAAGGGAGTTTGAGATTTTCTACAGAATATTTGGCTAAGTGATAAGTGATGTGTTTAATTTAACACACATTTATTGAATTCAAAGCACTGTGCCTAGTGATGAGGACATACAGAGATATTCGAGACACGGTCCGTCCTCCAAACTCTTAGTTTGTTCGGGACAAGAGCCTTAACATTAGGAGTTCTGTGGAGATAAATGCTGCAGTCGAAATGCAGACTGCATAGTGAGAGTAATGTAGAAGCAGTGACTGGTCCTAGCTGGGGGATTGGAAAAGGCTGGGAGAGAGGTAGGGTTGGAGTTGAATCTGGTAGGAAGAGGTCAGACTCCATGGATATTGAAGGGAAGACCATGTTTAGAGGTAGACTCATAGGGTTACGGCTCCTGCTTGTCTAACAGCCACCTTGAGTTACTCTTGTCGCTTGCCTAACAGCCACCTTGAGTTACTCTTGTCACTTGGATGCCTTTCAGAGTACATAAACATCGTCTATCTCTGGGGATTTTTTGGGCACTGCTTCCAAACCATATGTAATTCTAAAGGTACTTTTCTATCTTAACGCTAATGCTGTTATATTGTTATAACGTTGATGTTGTTTTCCTAGCCGCCGATTCCTATACATCGTTAATCTAGATGCCCCTTTCGAAGGTCACCGAAAGATCTCTCGCCAGAGCAAATGGGACGTCGGAGCTGTGCAGTGGAATCCTCATGACAGCTTTGCACACTATTTTGCAGCTTCGGTGAGCTCATTTAAGGAGTATAGAAAAGGCTTTTCAATGTGTGATCTTGGGCTGGTCGATCTATATTCTGTGTAGAGAAGAGAATGTAACTCATTTCTCAGGCGGAAAGGAGGTGTGAATGGTTCTAAAAGGAAGATGGAGGCAAATTACAGATTAAAAAATATATATATATGAAAAATGTTAGCTGGTACCATTGGTGTCAGACCTTGTGTTTCTAAGGATTGAATCCAGATTTTGAAAGGGAAAGGGGTAGATGCCTCTATTTCTTGTGTGATAAGACATGTTTTCTTTAGCAGGAATGTAACTAGCCAGTGACTCAGAAATATGTTCTAAGGGGGAACTGGTGAGCTGGGCTGGGGTTGACCTTCATTGCTTTCAGAGGGATCAGAAGATTCCATACACTCTTCCACTCAAAGGAAGGGATTCTTTCTTGATTGGGATTCAATAGATCGGTTAACCCCCTAAAATTTTATATGCCTGTTTATGTGTGAATTTTTCCAAGGAAAAGATGCATAATACATTTTATTAGATGTTCCGAGGGATTCATAACTGAAAAAAGATCTGGGCTAGATCATCTCTGATATCTTTTGCCAGATTCTATATCAGCATTCTATTCTCTTAGAACAATTCGAGATCTTAACCTTTGGCTCCTTTTGCATTGGGCTGGAAGGACAGTATTTAAAGGAACCCTTCTTACCACCCAGGGGATATGACTATTCATGGTGCTGTCTGGATGTGTTCTTATGAGAAATGACAGTCTGTGAGAGGAAAGCACCTGAGAAACAAAAGAAGAGCAACATCGTCAGCTTTAGAAGAAACAAAAAGCTGCTCTTCCTCATCATTTCCAGAACCGAATCTGACTATCTAACTTTAACCATGGACGTCTGAGGTTGAACTGGTTTTGGAGACTGTTCTGAAAGAGAAGGAGAGAGTCAGTCCACTGCTTTGCCATTCTCAACCTCTCTCCTGTGTATTAGGAAGAATGCTTTTTTGTTGGCTTATACCTCTAGGTCCTTTATCTCCCCTCTCCCCTTCAGTCCCTGATCATTTGGTCCAGGGTTTCTCAAGGTCGGCACTATTGACATGTTAGGCCAGATAATTCTTCATGGTGGGCGCTGTCCTGTGCATTGTAGGAGATTTACCAGCATCCCTGACCGCTACCCACTAGATCCCAGTAGCATCTCCCCTCGTCCTCGTCATGACAACCAAAAATGTCTCTAGATATTGTCAAATGTCCCCTAGGAGACAAAATCGCCCTATCGGGAACCACTGATTTAGGCTGAACCCCTCAGTCCTTGCCCCAGGTGGATCAACACTGCGTTGGTGTAGGAGTGGTGAGAAAGACTGCCTTTTAAAATATTTTTTTGCTGAGGAAGATTTACCCTGAGCTAACATCTGTTGCCAGTCTTCCTCTATTTTGTATGTGGGTCACTGCCACAGCGTAGCCACGAGTGGTGTAGGTCCATGCCTAGGAACCCAAGCGGAGCATGCTGAACTTAACTGTAACCACAGGCCCATTTAGAGCCAGTTTGAACAGACCCCAACTCTTATCAACAAAGTGATTAAGGATTGTCTTTCAGCAAAATTGCAAAGTCACGCAGCCAGGGCATGCGCAAAAGAAGAAATCGTGACCTGAAACGACCTCTGAACCAAAGAGCCTCCTTCTACGGAATCCAAGGACCAGGGCGTGACCGGAACTTGAAAGCCGGGCTAGTATCAGAAGCAAGGGGTCCCTCATTCAGGAAAATCTGGTGTTAAAATTCCTTCCCAATTTCATCATAGATGTTTAGAACCTCATCATAAATGTTTAAAACCTTACCATAAATACCTGAAGCCCACCAATTGAAACCTGTCCCACCAGTGTTTCCATGTGCCAACCTGTTCTCCCCAACCTCTTAAATTTTGTCCCAAATCCTGAATCGGGGAGACAGCTCTGACTGCGCATGCCCCCTGTCTCCCTGGAGATCGATCTCGCAGAATAAAAGCTGATTTCTCCCCTCAAAGGCTGATGCCATAATTAATTGGCTCATTTATGTGCATCGGGCAGAGAACCCCAATTTTGTGCAATAACATAACCACTGTGCCACTGGGGCTGGCCCTGGCCTTTTTTTTTAGACAATCATTTTAAAGTGAACAATTCGGTATCATTTACTACATTCACAATGTTGTGTAACCACTACTTCTGTCTAGTTCCCAAACATTCCATCGTTCCAAAGTGAGACCCTGTACCATTAAGCAGTTTCTCCCCATTACCCTCTCCCCGCAGTCCCTGGCAACCACCAGTCTGTGTTCTGTATCTATGGATTTATCTATTTTGGGTATTTCATATAAATGAAATTATACAGTATGTGACCTTTTGTGTGTGGCTTCTTTATCCATGTTGTTACTGAGCAAAGGCTCTCTCTACCCAATGCACACAGAAGCTGATACTGTGGTACACCAGTCTTTGAGGGAAGATGTTTTATTATGCAATCAGTTGGTAAGGAGATGAAAGGAAGGCTGTCAACTCTGTCTCCCCTATCCAGGGTATAGGCTGAGCTTTAAGGCATCAGGGAGGGCAGGCTGCCATGTGGAAGCACTGGCAGGATCAGTTTTGATTGGCGGATCAAAATGGTCTCTTCTGGCCATGCTCCTGGCTGGCTCACAGCCCCTGAAAAATAGCCTTAACACTCTGTTAAGACGAGGTCAACACAGTAAACAAGGGTAAAGTTGTTAGTAGATTTAAGTCATTGCCTTTATTGATAAGAGTTTCTAGAGATTTAGTCATCCTCTCCTTCCTGGTACAGAGAGGAAGGCATCCTTACAAATGGAGATTTCTCTTATAAATGTAAATTTCCCTTACAAATGGGTAACTTCTACTAAGTTTTCAGAGCTTTTCCCTGTGTCTGCTGTTTCTTAAAAATAATCAGCCTAAAATAATTCTTATGCCAAAGAGGCATATTTTGGGGTGACAAATTCTGTTCCCAGTCCTGTGGTTATAGTGTTGTAGCGTGTATCAGTACTTCACTCCTTTTCATGGCCATATAATATTCCATTGTATGGGTACACTACATTTAGCTTATTCGTTCATCCACTGATGGACATTTGGACTGGCTATTGTGAATAAGTGCTGATATGAACGTGTATACATGTACTTTTTTTGGTACTTGTTTTCAGTTCTTTTGGGTATGGACCTAGGAGCAGAATTGCAGGGTTATATGTTAGTCTGTGTTTAACTTTTTGAAGCACCAAACTGTTTTTCACAAACTGTAACTGTGTTACAGTTCTACCAGCAATGCACAAGGGTTCCAATTTCACCACATCTTGCTAACACTTATTTCCTGTTTTGTTTTTTTTTAAATTTTTTTATTATAGCCATCCTAGTGGATGTGAGGTGGTACCTCACTGTGGTTTTGATTTGCATTTCCCTAATGACTAATTATGTTGAGCATCTTTTCATGTGCCTGTTGTCCATTTGTATGTGTTTTTTTTTTTTTTAAGATTTTATTTATTTATTTTTCCCCCAAAGCCCCAGTACATAGTTGTCTGTCATAGCTGCACATCCTTCTAGTTGCTGTATGTGGGACGCAGCCTCAGCATGGCTGGAGGAGTGGTGCCTCGGTGCGCACCCGGGATCCGAACCCGGGCCGCCAGCAGCGGAGCGCACGCACTTAACCGCTAAGCCACGGGGCCGGCCCTGTATGTGTTTTTTGGAGAAATGTCTTTTCACATCCTTTGCCCATTTTTGAACTGGATTGTTTGTCTTTTTGCTGTTGAATTCTAAGAGTTCTTTATATATTCTTGATACTAGGCCCTTATTAGATATATGATTTGCAAATATTTTCTCCAGTTCTGTAGATTGTCTTTTTACTTTCTTGATAGTGTCCTTTGATACATAAAAGTTTTAATTTTGATGAAGTTCAAGTCATTGATTTTGTTTCTTTTATTGTTCTTGGTTGGAAGGCAGCATTTTTCAGGAGAGGCAGCCTTTTTGGAGTTGGGCAAATCTAAGGTCAGGTCCTAGTTTCATCACTCACTTTTATCTTGAGCACCCACTCAACTTTTGAGCCTCATCTGTGCTATGGGTGATGACACCTTGTGTGCAGTGTGGTGGGAAGGATCAGAGGGCAGGTTTTTTAAGGTGCCTGGTTCATAGACTGGCACTAGCAGATCCTCTGGAAATGGCAGGGAATATTATTGTAAGATGAGGGGGCTTTTCTTTTCACTCCTATTCCCATTGGAAGCTATTTTGAATGCTAACCTTTCACAGGAACCTTACCTATTTAGAATTGGAATCTGGCATTTCAGGATAAAAATCTCAGAACTTTATACATCTGTCTTTCTCTGAGCTAAAATGAAAATCAGCCTATTATATATATCAATTTGATATATATTATTATTAAACGGCCTATTAGTAGTCCTTATTTACTTTTCAGTGAATTCATAAGCTCACGATATTTAGGAAGCCTTTGCTGGTTTATTGTTTCTTTAAGTGAAATTTTAGTTTGATTGAAGCTTTCTTTTCTTCTTTTTCTGAGGTTAGCTCAAATGTTAATTGTACTTATTTCTGAAAAGGTTAACCTGTAGGGTCTTTGCTGTGCAAGTTGGTTTCTATGTGGCTTCCCCTTTTCAGCCTTAAGCACATTAGGCTGAGAGCATATATTCTGATGTACTACCTGCTGCCTTCTTTCCCTTTTTCTTTTCAGAGTAACCAACGGATTGACCTTTATAAGTGGAAAGACGGCAGTGGGGAAGTTGGCACAACCTTACAAGGCCATACTCGCGTAATCAGGTAGGCACCAGCCCTCCACAGCTCCCTGGCCTGTCTCGCTATGTCAGTCCCTTGAGGAGTGAAATGAAGACACCCTCCTCCTCCCATGGCTTGACCCTCTGTGTTGCATTGGCCTTGGGTGGCTGCTAGGTCATTAGCGTTCACTGAGATGATGGCTTTCACAGGGAAGAACAACAGGTATTTAGGAACCAGCGCTCGTGTAGCTGTTAACCTTGACCCTAGAAGACGCTTGGGTACAGCCCAGTCCAGTGTAAAAGATTAGAGCTGGTTTTTGCCACAGGAGGGAGATGAAGTTATGCCAGCACAATCCCTCAGCTCTCAGTTGGCAGTGCCCAGGACTACAGAGACATCAGGACGCAGCCCTTTGCTCTTTCTCCATCAGCTGTGGTTCACCACCTAGAACTCCTGCATCACAGTCTGTTATCCACATGCACAGTTGCCTCCCACTCGTGACCTTCCACTTGGCTTCTGGAGTGCTTCTTGATCCATCCTTTCCTTGGGCCACTGTTTCTGGGTGGGGAATCCTTGTTCTGGGAAGTAGCAGCAGGGAGTGCAGGAGTGGTGAAGCTTACCTGGGGAGTGATGGGAAAGGCTAGACCACCGGCCTGTGTTAACTGTTTGTGTAGTAACTGCCTTTCTGGGAGTGAGGGCCTGAATAGGAGAACCAGAGGCCTGCTTGCCCTCCTTGAAAGCTGTGTAGCAACATGGCCCTTTGCCACTGCTTTAGGAGATGTTGGTTTTACTCAAGGTACCTGTGTTGAGTCTGATTTAGAACACGATAAGTCAAAAATTACTTTGTGTTTTTCCTTTGTTTTGTCTGTTTAGTGTGTGTGTGTATTTTAGTTGAAATGCTCCATTTCTTTTTTGGGAGCAGCTGATAGTATAGCTGGTGATGACAGGGGGAAGGACCTGAAAATTTCCTTCAGAGCTCAATAAGTCTTGTTCTTTCCTGATGAACTTTGGAGATTCCCAGCCTAACCCGTGTTAAGAGGCCCATTAATGGCGACTTTCTGAAGCCACTAGAAACTAAATCTGTTAGTGGTTTGGAACTGGACTCTGAATTTTTTCTCTTTGTTGTTGTTCTGTTTATTTCTTGTGTTCCCAGCGACTTGGACTGGGCAGTGTTTGAGCCAGATCTCCTGGTTACCAGCTCTGTGGACACCTACATCTACATTTGGGATATCAAGTAAGAACAATTAAGGGCCATAACCACTTGGTTGTGGGACGATCTGGGAGCTTCGTTTTAGATATTGGGTGTCTTGGTTTGGTTTCCTCTGGATGCAGACCCTGAGACAAGGATACATTGCAGACATGTTATTTAGGAGGTGAAAGAAACACTGTAGGGGGGATGGAGAAGAGAGACAAGATTGAGAAGGCGACAAATAGAGGGTGCATTATCCACTGTGAACAGGTGGAGTTTAATCTTACTGGGGACTACTAAGTGCTAGTGTAAAACTCCCTCATCAAAGGTGTTCCACCTCCAAAGGCTAAGGAAGTGGGGCTGCTATTCACTGTCAGTCATTGGTGGCCCCCAGGGACCTTAATTCCCTGGCACTTCAGTCCTGTCAGAAAGGTTTGCAAAACAGGCTTCAGCAGCCCGGGAAATCCCTTTGGCAGAGAAACACAGGTGCTGGCATTTGGAAGTAAGGCTAAAGTTTACTGAAGTGGCAAGTGGCGATGGGGGATTTGATGGGCACAGACACACGTCTGCTACAGCAGGCGGTACTTGGAGACACATCTACTGGGCTCTTTACTCACTCTTTGTGAGGCTTCAATTCCCCATCCGTAAAAGGGGGCTGAGAGCCACCTGGTAGAATTACTCTTCATGGAGTAAAGAGTAAGGAGCACACGGCCCAACCCTGGCACATCGTAAGTTCTTAATAAATGTCTATTCCCTTCTTCCCTTAGAGAGCAAAGTTCCCTTTGCCATAACAGTTAGAGGTAACTAACTAGAGAGTCTATAGAGTCTCCCAAACGGGACACATCTTCCCTCACCAGGCTACTCTGCTCCCAAATGGCAGTGGCTGTGTGAAGTTTTACACTGAAAGGTTAGCTGTAGGCAGAAGACAAGCCAGATACGGAGATTTGACAGACCAGACAGACCAGTGAAAGGGGTTCCTAGGGAGTAAGGGTGTGTAACCTGCATTCCGTACAGATTAGCTCTTCAGAGGTGATGAGTCTGTAAAGGCAGTGCCAGAGGGAGGAAAGGAGCACAAAATCCAGAGAAATGGAAGAGAGAAGCTCTTAAACAAAAAACCAAAGGAGCTATGGGGCAAGGTTAGAGTATTGCTTATTTACATAAAACAATTTTCTTTTCTATCTTTTTTTGTGAGGAAGATTAGCCCTGAGCTAACATCCGATGCCAACCCTCCTCTTTTTGCTGAGGAAGATTGGCCCTGGACTAACATTCCTGCTCATCTTCCTCTACTTTATATGGGACACCGCCACAGCATGGCTTGACAAGCGGTGCATCGGTGCGCGCCTGGGATCCGAACCTGCGAACCCCGGGTCACCAAAGCAGAGCGTGCGAACTTAACCGCTACGCCACCAGGCCGGCTCCAAAACGATTATTTTCATAGTTTAAAGATTAAAAGACGCTGAACTGACAGTTTATTTTCATGTTTTTTAAATAGTAAGCTGGAGGTCAGATGTCAGATTTGCCTTGTCTGGCCCTCCTAGCCCTAGAGTGCCACCCAGTGCTGCCATTTTACCATTTGTTGTGAACCGTGGAGCTTCTCTCTCCAAGAGTCTCCCATTGCATCCAGGAATAATTTTTTTTTTAATAGTGGGTAAAAAACACAAAACATAAAATTTACCATCTTCACCACTTTTAAGTGTACAGTCAGTAGTGTTAAGTATACAGTCATGTGCCACATAATGATGTTTTGGTGAACGATGGACCACGTATACGATGGTGGTCCCATAGGATTAGTCCATCTAGCCTAGGTGTGTAGTAGGCTCTACCATCTAGGTTTGTGAAGTGTGCTCAATGATGTTCACACAATGACAAAATTGCCCAGTGATGCATTTCTCAGAGTGTATCCCTGTCATTAAATGGCGCATGACCATGCTCACAATGTTGTGCAACAGATCTCTAGAACTTTTTCATCTTCTACAGCTAAAACTTTATACTTATTAAACAACAACTTCCATTTCCCCCTCCCCCACCCCCTGGTAGTGATCATTCTACTTTCTGTTTCTATGAATTTGACTACTCTAGGGACCTCATATAAGTGGAATCATACAGTATTTGTCCTTTTGTGACTGACTTATTTGACTTAGCATTATGTCCTCAAGATTCATCCGTGTTGTAGCATGTGACAGGATTTCTTTCCTTTTTAAGACCTAATAATATTTCTCTGTATGTGTATGCCCCGTTTTATTTATCCATTTGTCAGTCAGTAGACGCTTGGGTTGCTTCCACCTCTTGGCTATTGTGAACATCCAGAGCAGTTTTTTACTCTACCTTTGAAATGCTGTCAGGAAGGTTCTTGCAGAGTTACGCCTCTGTGACTGTACCCTTGTTCCACTAGGAGAAATGACACCAGGAAGGGATTCTTTTGGCTTCCTCCATTCCTACCTCAGGGTCACCCAGGCCGTGCTGAATCATGTAGTTTGTTTTCTGTGAATACAGCTGTATGATTTGAAATTCAGACTTGGCCTCAATTGAAGTATCTGAGAAAGTTCATCTACCTGGGTGGAGACAGGCTTCTCTTTGCACTTCTTTTTAAGGCCCTCACATTCCTACTGAACTCCAAGTACCCACTGAAAGGAAAGTGAAGAGAGGTGTGCAGAGAGGGGAAAACACCAGGTGGAGGTGGCATATGAATTGGGCATTTGATTTCTGACTTTTATATTTCAGAGACACAAGGAAACCTACCGTTGCACTGTCTGCTGTAGGTGAGTGTATACTTCGCCCTGTCTTCTTCATTCCATTCCTTCCATTCCTTCTCTCACACTGACTGCCCCATGCCCCATGTTCTGTCATGGCTGGGTGGAATTCTAAGTCCCACATTGCAAGGGGCTTGCTTTATACTGCTCTCAGAAGTTAAGAGTCCAGACTGTTGAGTGTGGTCAGGAACTTATTTCAGAATTCAAGGACAGGAGCCAAATGGGTTTGTTTTTAAACTTTTTATTGTGGAAAATTTCAAATGTGTGGAAAAATAGAAGAAAATGAATTGCCTTGTATTCATCATCCAGCTTCAGCAGTTGTCAACGTATGGCCGATCTTATTTCATTTTTACCTCTACCCACTGTCCCACCCCCTACCCCCGTCCCCTTTGGGATTATTTTGAAGCAAATCTCAGGTATTATATCATTTCATCAACAAACATTTCAGTAAGTATTTTTTATAAGAATCCTTTAAAAAACATAATCACACTATTTAAGCAGTATTGAAATTTCCCCAATGCTCTCTCTCTCTCTCTCTTTTTTTTTTTTTTTTTACAAATTATTTGAATCAGAATCCAAATAAAGTCCTTACATGCAAGTGGTTAATATATTTCTCATCTTTTTAAATTGATGGGTTTCTTATCCCTCTCCTTTTTTGATTTGTTTTTCTTTTCCTGTGGTTTATTTATTGAAGAAATCAGATTGTTTGTCCTGTGGTTTCCCACAATCTAGATTATGCTGCTTGTGTCCCCATGGTGTCATTTAATATGGATGCACTGAAACTTTGAAATTGCTTTCTGATCTCCCTGTTTTCATTGCTCAGTTGGAATTGACTATTTTTGGAATTCTGCATTGGGGCTGTTATGAGTATTCCCGCTACTTCCTGAGAATAGAACTTGGGTGTGGAACTGGTATAACTCACAATGATGAAGCCCAATCATCAGTATTTGGCTTATATTATATTATCTCTCTCCTTTGTGTCTTCTTGGTACATCTGAATACACATTTGGTGTTTGCTCCAAAATGATTACATGATTCTTCTTTTTTCCCCTTTACCCCCATACCTCATCATTTAAAGGTATTTAGCATCACAACTGTATTAAGCAGCTGGATTATCTGTTCTTTGGGGTTAGGGACTACGTCTGTCTTGTTCAGTGCTGTAGGCCAAGGTCAGCATTTGTGCCTGACCCAGGAGATGCTCCCTGTAAATAGTTGTTAAGTGGATGTAGGAATCAAGCACCTGTGCCTTTGTGCTAAGTGCTTAACAAGTCTATTGATCTGGTGGCCCCCCCCCCTAATTTTAGGCACTTATGATCTGAGACATATAATGGCCCTCAGGCATGGTTGCAGAGGACATACAACTGAATGAAAATACAAATCATCTGTAAATGCCTCAGTCACCTCCCCCTGACTTTATTACTTCTATTTACAGGTTTCTAAGTTAGATTGGTTGTAGAGGAACTCTAAAATGAAAGTTCTTTTTTTCAGCCCACTTGTTAGAATTGCTTTCTTTTCTGTTATAGGTCCTTCTAAAAAGTAGAAGTAGGGGACTTCTTTCCTGTTTGCACCTGAGTGAGGTTTCTCAGTGGTGGCAAAGCTGCCCTGGGAGAAAAGAGGCTCATGAGAGGCTTGAGGACCTTTACTTTTTATTATTATTTTTTTTCGGTGAGGCATATTGGCCCTGAGCTAACATCTGTTGCCAGTCTTCCTCTTTTTGCTTGAGGAAGATCGGCCGTGACCTAACATCTGTTGCCAGTCTTCCTCTTTTTGCTTGAGGAAGATTGGCCATGAGCTAACATCTGTGTCAGTCTTCCTCTAATTTGTATGTGGGTCGCCACCACAGTATGGCTTGATGAGTGGTGTAGGTCCGCGAACCGGAAACCTGCAAACTCCGGGCCACTGAAGCGGAGCACGCCAAACTTAACCACTATGCCTGCGGGCCGGCCCCTTGAGGACCTTTATAGGCTGCTTGATCTAACATTCCCTGAAAGGAGCAGCCTTTGGATACTGCTGCTCCACAGAGTTCATGGTCCCCGTCTGTCCATGAGCACATTGTTTATACCTTTGGAGTAGAGAGTCACTAAGAGCATGTCCATGGGTACTCCAGAGTGTTCTCTGTCTGAGAACTCTTACAGTCTGGGACCTCTGACCCTGGTGTCATGATCCTAGTAAAGCAGATTGAATTAGGAGGTTCCCAGAATCCTTTGGGAGGCTTTATGTTCTGATAAACCTCCATTCCCGCTTTTCCACTGGGAAAAGTATGTTTTCTTGGAACTCTTCAAATAACTCTGTCACGAGGAGATGAAGCAGGCTCTTCTTACTCATTCTTTAGCTGATACCCTTTCTTGCAAAGAAACTGGGTCTCTTAAGGAATACATTATCTTCCTCCGTCTTTAGGGATCTCCACCATTGGTTCTTAGGTGACTTACGATGCCCTGTGTCTCAAGGAAAAAACACAACCAACAAACAAATACCCTTACCAAAACCAAGCAAGGATAAGTTCTGGGGCTTAACTCTAGTGCCTGTTAGATTCTAAGTCTTTGCTTTCTCTCTCACACTCTCTAGACTTCTTGGATCAGGTTGCTCTCCAAAGCCCTGGATCTGTTATGGTGTCCCCGGTAATAAACACCCACCCAAAGGGAGAGGTGTCAAAGCAGAAATATCCTGTGTTGTCTGAGCAAGAACAGGAAGAGGTGGGAAGGAGAGCCATCCTTGTTCTGGTGCCTGAGGCCTTTACAGACCATTTGTATTTTTGTTCAGTTGGATGTTCTCTGCCGCCAGGCCTGCAAGCCATTATATGTCTCAGATCATAATTAATTAACTTGATTATTTTTAAGAGTCAGCTAGAAGTGCTGTGTCCCAGTTTTCCGCATGTCTCAGCCCCTTCTGGCATCTTAAAGTAAGCCTCCTCTCTTAAGTAGCTCTTTTGTCATTGTTGTTACCTCTTTGTTTTGGCAGAATGGGAAAAGGACTGAGTTCACACAGTGCCAGGGATGTTCTCTTTCCCTAACTCAGTGCAGGGCCAGTGGTCATTTCTAACTGCTCATGGGGAGATGAGAGTGGGAGGGTGCACGTAACCTTCTGAGGGCAACACTGGGGCTTATTCTTCAGCTGAGCTTCAGCTGGAGGCTGTGTTTTTCCAAGACTGTCCCTCTGGAAAAAAAAAAAAAGGGAAGGAGCAGGCATTGAGCTGAGGCCCTTCTTATTGGGAGTGCCAGCCTGGTCGTTGGAGAGATGAAGAGCAGGTTGTGTGATGAGTCAATTACCAACCAGCAGACCCGTCCTGAGCTATGGCTCTATAAGAAACTACATTTCCCTGCTGATTCTGCTCGGAGGTAATCTGTAGTTTTTTTTCCCAAGGGAGGTTATTTCCTCAATTAGGTGACTCTGATCCTGTTCCCATGTGTTAATTCATTTATTTTTTGGCTTCATTTTCTCTTTAATGGTAGAGTTGGTGCAGTCATAGAAACTTGAAGGCTTCTGTGCTTATTCAGCCAGAACTCATTATCCAGCTCCCCTGGATGTGCTCCACTCTGGTTCGGAAGGCGTTGAGGGCAGCAGCTTTCTTCTTCTGATTTTTCTTTGCAGCGGGTGCCTCGCAGGTCAAATGGAATAAAAAAAATGCTAATTGCCTTGCCACCAGTCATGACGGGGATGTACGGATATGGGACAAGCGGGTAAGTAATCTCTTTTTCCCCCGCAGTTGGTCTTTAGTCTCTCCTAGAGGGTGTGCAGAGGATGTTGTGAGTAGCAGGACTTGTCTTGCAAGTCCAGGGTGCCCTGTGCAGTGTGGTAAATTGCCATTGTAAGATCACAGTACCAGATGACATTTGCTTCCCGATCAAGTTGGTGTTGAAGGAAGATAGGGAAGTGAGGCATTATGATCTGTGGTTGAGAAAATGAACTTGGCCTGACCTAAGTTAGAGTCTCATTTTGCTGCCTCCTAATTATGATATCAGGTGAGCCACTAAACTTCCCTAAGCCTCAGTTTCCTTATCTTCAAAATAAAGACAATGATAATGTATCATTGAGGAGATCAAGCGTGGGGGACCAGATGCTGTTCTAGCACAGTCAGCAGGCTTCTGACCCCTGCCCCAAACTGCAAGGGAAAACTAGTTGTTTTAGGACAGATGCCATCCTGAGTACTTCCAATCTAAATCACTGAGGCGGGGTACTCAGTATGCTCAAGTCCTCCCTTAGAAGTCCAGCTGTCCCATCAGCCTCAAAGAGCCTGTGGATCATGTATTCTTGCTGCAGCAGCTGGTGTAACTGGTAGGCATGAAAGAGGTGAAAGGTGCTGGGCTCCTGCTGCAATGGAAAGTCTGGTGGAAGTTTGGTGTGTTGGCGTCAGTGAGAATAATGGTGCAGGAGAAGAGCCTCCCCCACATCTAACTGCCAGACGATTGGGTAATAATGCGCAGAGCAGTTGACTTGTGTACGATTTGGGGTGTGAATACTGCTTCCTGCTCTGCTGGAAATCCTCATCCTTTGTGGGGAGCACCTACTTTTACTTTTCCTGAAACTCGTTCAGGGGCTGTCCCAACTCGCCTGCTGACTGTCAAGTCTCAGCATGGCTTCTGGCCGCTCTGCTCCCTTCCCCTTCTAGCTGGAAATAAGAGCATAGAGTTGGAGAGAGGGGAGGGAAGTGAAGCAGAGACTGGGAGTCTGCTGGATTGGGTGCCAGGACCTGCTGGGGAACCAGTGTGCTGGCTGAACCCTCTGCCTTAGGTAGCTTAGATGAAAAGGTGATTTTTAAGTAGAGGTTGGACGGGTATGTCTTCTGTATGTTAGTTTTTGTGTCGGTCCCTTTCGTCCAGTCTGGTAATAGCCATTGTTCTCCCTCTTTATTTCTTAAATTAATAATTGGTTTTATTCATTTTGTTATTAGCATAGTATTTAAATATGGTAAACGGTTTAAATAAAATATGTTTGTTTAATTTGTAGTGCATACATATTTGCTTTAGACTGATTTCAGAGCCATAGGCAAGAGAAACAGTTTGGTATTTAGCCATGAACTCTCTCGGTACCTGTTTTCCAAAACAGTACTTGTGTCCTTATCTTGTAGAAATATATAGCTGAACTATTCCTTTCTAGTCTCCTGATGGTCCACTAATAACACTGACTTCCCTCAGCAAGCCTTTATCTATTTTGTTTGGAGGCTTTTAACTTTTTTTTTGGCTATTACTATTTGGGACTTCTGCTCAGATGGATTGTAAAACTTGTTGGTCTTATTTTCACTTCTCTGGCACTCTCTAGTGTCAAAGCAGCACTCATGGCAGCAAGCATCAGAGGCTTAAAAAAGTGCAGTATCAGTGGTAACGTTGGATTTTCATTTGAACTCATGTATGACTAATAATACTAACATTTACCAAGTGTTTATTATGCGCAAGCATTGCTCTGAGAACTTTATGTGTATTGATTCATTTCTCTTTATAACTCGCCTTTAAAGTAGGTTCAGTTATTACTCCCAGTCTACTGATTAGTAAACTGAGGCACAGTCTGTTGTCAGGATTGGAACCCAGGAAGGCTGGTTCTGGAGACTGCACTCTTAACCTCATAGACTAATGCTAATTATGGAAGTAATACATGCTGTGTTACTTTGTAGAAAATATAAAAGAGAAAATAAAAATCATTCATAGTCCTATTACCCAGAGACAAATGCTAGCATTTTGGTGTTTTCTTATGCTTTTTTTTTTAACGTGGTTTATCATATCATGTACATAGTTCTATATGCTTTTTTTCGTTTAACATTACAACAGATGCATTTTGCCCATATTATAATCTCTAAGTATAATTTTTAGTGGCTACATCATATCGTGTCAGATAGCTGTTCTAAAATTGATTCTAAAATGTAATTATTCTCCACTTATTGATTATTTATGTTGTTTCTGGTTTTCTAGTGTTCCAAATCACACCAAAATGAACATCTTTTGTATCTAAAGCTTTTTATGAATTTGGAATATTCCCTTAAGAAAGGAAGATTTTAAGTCTCTTGATAAATGTTGCCAAAGTTTTTCCCAAAAAAGTTGTACATGGACACCAGCAGTGACAAACTGCAGCTTCACTGCATTGAGTATTATTTACAAATAACTTCTAATTTGATAGCTTAAAAAAATCTTGTTTTAACATATATTTGTAAAGTTTCCTTCTGAGCTTGTTCGTTTTATATATGCTCGTTAATCACACATTGTTTTCTTAAATTTTTTTTTTTTTTATTTTTTTTATTTTATTTTTTGCCCCCAAAGCCCCAGTAGATAGTTGTATGTCATAGCTGCACACCCTTCTAGTTGCTGTATGTGGGACTCGGCCCCAGGATGGACAGAGAAGTGGTGCCTCAATGCGCACCCGGGATCCGAACCCGGGCTGCCAGCATCGCAGCGCGCGCACTTAACCACCAAGCCACAGGGCCGGCCCCACACATTGTTTTCTTTTGTGATGTGTGTTCATTCTCTTTTGGGGTCTTGGTGCTTGATCACTTTAAGATTGGTGGTTTTACCCTCAGATTGGGTCTGTTTGAATGTCAGCCCCTTTTCCAGGGTGATTGTGAAGAAGGGGAGCAGGAATTGCAGAACCCACTACTAAAGGGGAAAACACCCACTACCTTGTATCCTTCATTAAAGTCGTGCATGGGGCTGGAGCAGAAGGAAATTAGGCTCCCAGACCCATATACAGAGCATGGGCGAAGGAGAGCTGGATAAGTCTTTTTCTGTCGTTGTTTTGTTTTAAACAAAACAAAGTGGAGTTTCTTAAGGATAGAGACGGGATCTGGTAGTATTTTTGTATCCCCACACAGCACCTAGCAGACTGTCATGTGGTAGACAATCAATGAGTTCTTTCTAAGTTGACGACACTCAGTGCTGATCCTGTTGTAGAAACCCAGTACAGCAGTGGAATATCTAGCAGCCCACCTCTCCAAAATCCATGGCCTGGACTGGCACCCAGACAGTGAGCACATTCTTGCTACCTCTAGTCAAGACAACTCTGTCAAGGTGAGTGACACCCACTGGGGCAGTTGGAGAGCTGTGTGTGGGAGGCATCAGGGGTGTATGACAGCACTTTCTTCGGAAGTATGTTAGCATAGTGTGTGTGTTTCAGGGATGCATGTGCTTCTTGGGGAGCTGAGCAAGTAAACCTCGTTATGTAGCCTAGCAAGAGTGAAATAGTAGCATACATCTGATCTGGCTCCTAGAATTCAGTCAGAGGGTTTTCTTCTTTCCTTTTGTGAAAGGAAGTCAGAGACAAAAGCGTTTAGAAAAATAAAGCAGCGTACTTGCAAAGAAGTTGCCAGGAAGTCAGATTTCAGAAAGATTGGCCCATCAAAGAAAAAACACGACAGACTATAAATAAAGAAGAAAAGCCCACAAAATTGTTAACGTTACCAAGTTTACAATTAGTCTTTCTGGGATGGAGAAACAATTTCCTCATATGATTATCATATCTGCAAAAGTTATGACATCTTTAGTCATCAGCATTGCAAAAGTCAGGGAAAGAGTTGTTTTATGAGATTCTTTAACTTACAGGAAATGCTCAAGGGGTTATGTGTTTCGGTGACCCTGTTATTTTTGGTTTATCTCAGAGAGCAGTGGTTCTTATTTGTTTTTTCTTTCCAACTGTGGGATGTGATATGCACCCTTGTTCAAAAGGATGCAGGGCAGAGTCAGCCTTGCTCCACAGTTCCTCCTTGTGGTCAGGTCTCTGCCCGGAAGGACAGAGACCTGACCACAAAAGTTTGCTTAGCAATTTTGTGATTCAGCATTGTTAATTTAATGCTTTGTTTTACTTACACAAGCACATACAATGTCTTTTTGGTATGGTTAGCAAAATAGAATCACACGAATCACACATTAAGGCTTAAAAGCTAACTTCTGTCTTGAGGTTTGTAAATCCCCTAGGGTTGTAATTTACTTTTATGTGCCAGCAGTGGTTTTTTTTGGGGGGATTTGGGTTTTTGTCCCCATACCCAGATCAGCTTGTTTCCCAAGTTCAGGAACCAGAAACCATCCAATTCACCTCCTCCTCTTTCTTTGAGGTCCCCAAGTTTGTCGATATTCATTGACATCTTTATTACCCTTGAGGCTAGGACTCCATAGGTAATAAAGCAGGTAACAGGCCATTTCCACATGTGAAATGCAGTCCTTGTTCCTTACTAGTAGGCTTAGCTTACAAATTAAATGAGATTTTTGGCATGGTATTTGACTTATTCCACTATATCCTGGTAGGAAAGAAGACAGTTTTTATTGAATATATATAAATAACATAATTGTAAAAAATGAGACAGTTCAGAGGCACTTTGCATAATGTTCAGCCATTGTTTTTAGAAATTTGTTAATAATGATCAATATGTTATTTTTTCCTACATAACAATTTTAAGTTTGCAATTTATTAGCTTGTAATTTATAGTTATAATTTTTATTCTGTTTTTATTTTCTGAATTCTAAGGGGTCAGCTGGAACAAGATACCATTGAATGAGTGTTTCACTTTAGTTTGTAAGTTGTTAAACTGTAAAACTGTTGAATTGTGAGTTAGAGCTAGATCAAAAACAAAGAAAAGGATTTTTCTTATATGGCCATTAAAAATAGAACATTAACCACAGTGAAATTAGTTTATATCATTTTAGATAATCAGTTATTTTTTTCCTGATCTTGGGTTAAGCAGTCTATTTTACAAAATTGCCGTCTTCTAGACTAAGAGTCCTGGCAATCCAGACGAGGTCCCTTGGTACAGAGGTGTGTGTCTGCCCCTGGGACAAGGTCAGCCTTACTGAGAAGCCTATACCCATGAGGCTGTTCCCTGTGATGTCAGCAGTTAAGAACCTAGTTCTTTACCGAGGCTCTTCTGATATTTCTTCAGAAGCCTTCCCTTCTGATCCGTAGCTTGTAGCTGAGGCCCTTGGGCAATGGGAAGAGAAAAGCAGAAATCACCTATGGACAGGAGGATGGCATGGCTCTGGTTATCTTGTTATATAACCAACTCTATCAGATTGAAACAGACTGAGGTCCTCTGTTTGTGTGTCACATGTAATCGTTTCATAAGACTCCATCAGTGACTGCCTTGAGAATAAGAACATGTTATGAAGTGAGTGAGGTCTTTGTCAGGTCTCCGGAGTCCTCTAATTTATCCCATAAATTATATGTTATAATGGTCACCAATTGATGAACATATTTAACTCTAGAACCAAAATTTTTTTTAAAAGGACTAATTTTGTTAACAGTTATCATGCCAGTCTTTGTAAATGAACCACGAATATGCTGCTGTCCAACCTGAAAAGTAAACATTTGAGGAAATGCATTCATAGTAACAATATTTTACTTGTATATAATTAACCCAGGCAGGTTGAACTTCTCTTTCATTTGCTAGTTTTTCCATATATGGTGGACTTGATAATAGGAAACCTTCACAAAGTATTGAGCTAATTAAAAATCTGAAGAATGCCAAGCATACCTAATTATTTGTACTTTCCCCTCTTTTGTAAGTTGAGGAAGCAAGTTATAGTTTACCCTGTGGCCATCTGGGAAACCCAAAAGCCGTTTAGATGGCAAAGACATCTTAACAGTTTTGTTATTTTGAATATGGGGCCTGAATTTGGCAAAAAAGAGTTATAAGAAGAAACAAGAGTTACCTCATGCTGTCCCTTTATGTTCACACCCTCCCCCAACCCCTGACTTCTGGCCACCACCGATCTGTTCTCCATCACTACAGTTTTGTCTTTTTGAGAATGTCATTTAAATGGAATCATGCAGTATGTGAATTTTTGAGATTGGCTTCTTTCACTTAGCATAGCACCTTTAAGATCCATCCAAGTTGTTTTAAGAATTAATAGTTCATATACTTTTTATTGCTGAGTTATAATCCACTATATGGATATACTACAATTTATTATCTGTTGACCCATTGAAGGACATTTGGGCTGTTTCCAGTTTTCGGTGATTGTGAATAAAGCTATTATGAACATTCATTTACAGATCTTTCTGTGAACGGAACTTTTCAGTTTTCTAGGACAAATATGTAGGAGTGGGATTGCTGGGTCGTATGGTACGTGTGCATTTAACTTTTTAAGAAGCTGCCAAACTGTCTTCCAGTCAGCGGCTTCTGTCCTCCATTTTTGAAAATCATTTCTTAATACTGAATAGTTCAGGGTTTCAGTCGTGGCCCTCCTGCCTTTGATGCGCTGCCATTTCCTGCTTTCGTGACAAATGCTCAAGCTCTAAGTATGTTTGTCTCTCCATTAAAAGCATAGGCATCTCTAAGGCAGGGTTTGTGTCTGGCTCACCTTTGTGTGTCTACAGCTTCAAGTTCCACACCTTCCATGTTGGAGGGGGTGAACGAGTGCTATGTGAGGGGGTTGGTGCCCAGTCACACAGCCACCTTTATCCTGTGTGACCTCGGGCAAGTTACATCATTTAGTAATTTAGCTTCTACATTTGACAAAGAGATTAATAACACCCATTATATGGTTGTTGTAACGATTAAATGGGGTAAAAAGCTTAAAGCTCTAAACATATGTCTGAAATGCAGTAAATAGTACATTTCAGCTACTGTTATTAGTTAAATTACCCTATAAGGGGTAAAAGTGATACAGGATGAAAACAGGTCTCTTCTACCTTTCACCTACAAGGTTGTTTAATAGATTAGGCAGGCTGACAGTGATCTGCCTCGAGGGGTCATCCTTGTGAAATCCAGAAATTCTCCTGTAATGTTTATAAGTGTGAAAGGGAAGTTTTCTTTGTGTCTCTGTCACAGTAGCGTGGCTATGGGGGCTGACTAAAATGCACTATTGAATGTATCTTTAGAGGACAAAAAGTAATGACTTGGACGTCTCTGCTTATTTCAATAGTTGAGTTTTTTTTTTTTTAATGACATTTATTTCACAAATTATCCTGCTTTCTTTCTTTCAGTTCTGGGATTACCGCCAGCCTCGGAAATACCTCAATATTCTCCCTTGCCAGGTGCCTGTCTGGAAGGCCAGATACACTGTGAGTGAGACACCCTACCTCTTGCTGGGAAACTTCATCTTGGTGTTCCAGACACAAGGAGCCAAGGGACATTTTCTCTTATTTTCTTTGTGAGGCAGTTTTCTCTTTCTGTCTTCATGTAGAGGTGGGGCAAAGGTGGTAATGATGGCATAAAAGCTGTTACCTATTTAGAAATTTTCCCTTGGAATGTTGAGTAAGAATCTGTATTAGAATTGCTAACCATAGCTAGACTGGGAAAGTAGGTGGTGTGAAGGAAGGTAGTCACTAATACCAGGGGAAGAGGGTGAGATTGAGGCAGAGGGTTGAGAGACTTGAGGTCAGTGGATTGCAATGGAAAGAACTCTGGCTTTAGAGTCAGAAGACCTGGGCTTTGGGCCTGGCAAAGCCATTTAATTGTTTTTTCCAGCTTTTTGAGATATTATTGACATGTAACACAGGATAAGCTCAAGGTACACAGTGAGTTGATGTGATACACTCATATATTACAAAAGATTACCGCCATAGCATTAGCTAATACCTCCATCATAATACCATTTATTTTTTGTGGTGAGAACATTTAAGATCTACTCTCTTAGCAACTTTCTTTTTTTCTTTTTTAAAGTTTCTCTTTTTTCTTTTTCTTTTTTTTTTATAATTTTATTTATTTATTTTTTCCCCCAAAGCCCCAGTAGATAGTTGTATGTCATAGCTGCACATCCTTCCAGTTGCTGTATGTGGGACGAGGCCTCAGCATGGCTGGAGAAGGGTGCGTCGGTGTGTGCCCGGGATCCGAACCCAGGCTGCCAGCAGCAGAGCGCGTGCACTTAACCGCCAAGCCACGGGGCCGGCCCATCTTAGCAACTTTCAAGTATCTAATATAGTATTAACTATAATCACGATGCTATACATTAGATCCCGAGAACTTACTCATCTTATAAGTGGAAGTTTGTACTCTTTGACCAATATCTCCCCTTTCCCCCCACCCCCAGCCCTTGTTAACCACCATTCTAGTCTCTGTTTCTATGAGTTTGGCTTTTTTAGATTCCATATAGAAGTGATATCATACAATATTTGTCTTTATCTGACTTGTTTCACTTAGCATAATACCTTCAAGGTCCATTCATGTTGTCACAAATGACAAGATTTCCTTCTTTCTCACGGCTAAATAATATTACATTGTGTGCGTGTGTGTCTGTGTGTGTGTGTATATATACATAATATTACATTGTGTGCGTGTGTGTATATATATATACACACACGCTTAGGTTGTTTCCACATCTTGGCTGTTGTTAGTAATGCTGCAATGAGCCATTTAATATTTGTGTGGCCTGGGGCAAGCCACTTGATGTTTTTGAGCAATAGTTTCCTCCTCTGTAGAATATGAATAATAATTTTTACTCTGCCTTTTTTATTGTGATCAAATTCACCATTTTAACGTGTACAATTCAGTGGCATTTAGTACATGTACAGTAGGCCTTCATTTTGAAAATTTGTATATGAAAATGCTTTATAAACCGTAAAATGCTACACATATAGGGGATAGGCTATTATCAACCTTCCAACAATTTTTCCATTGCCACATTGATAGCTGCTGATCAGAGATAATATATTTCCTTCAGTGTGAATTTGAAAGGGAGCAGAGGGATGAATAAAGCTACTTTTGTACAAAGGCTGGGTCCCCCTGGGGCATAGAAGATAATTGTGGAGCATAGAAGATAATTTGGATATTAAGTAGTTTTTGCAACTGGGAGCACTTGTCAAGAAATCACATATTGTTCTTATGACTTGAAATACTTCTCTGGATTAATATGTTTGCTTAAAAAATAAACAGAGAACGGGCTGGCCCTGTGGCGTAGTGGTTAAGTGCACGCGCTCCACTGCTGGCAGCCCGGGTTTGGATCCTGGGTGCGCACTGGCGCCGCTTGTCAGGCCATGCTGTGGCAGCGTCGCATATAAAGTGGAAGAAGATGGGCATGGTTGTTAGCTCAGGGCCAGTCTTCCTCAGCAAAAAGAGGAGGATTGGCGTGGATGTTAGCTCAGGGCTGATCTTCCTCACAAAAAAACAAAACAAAAACAAAAAATAAACAGAGAAGTCGAGTAGTGCTGCCAGGAGGGGAGATGAAGATAAATGTGCTCTTAGGCAACTGCGGTCTCTTCCTTAAAGAACAGAGTCTAATTATCAACCAGATTGGCCCCTTAGCTACCTAGAAGATTGGGTGTTGGTAAGCAAAACCTGTCCGTCCTGAGGTTGGAAGATTTTCCTTTGAATAACTGTGTGTTTGAAGTGGTGGGAAGGTGATGCTTCGTGTGGATGGTGTGCTTCTGGTGCATGGTCACATGGCAAGAATTATGTTTGCTGCCCTGGGGTTTTCCCTGGTGTGCTTTGCATGCTCATTCTGGGAAAGCACTTGGTAATTCTTAGTGGAAACTCATGGAGAATAGCTAGGTTGTGGAACAGTGTGTTCCAGTGTGCAGCAGTTAGAGCCATTTGCTTATTTTAGGTTAAAAAAAGTTTTTCTCCCAGTATTTGGCTTAGCTTTATTTTTCACTTGCTGTAGTGTATTCCATAGCAAAGAAAAAGTAAAAGAAAAGTGGAAGAAAAATAGATGTGATGGTCAACTTACAGTATTTGGGAAAATTTTCCCCAGTTGGGTTGGGGCTTTCCATCATCTAATTGATTTCAGTTAGGAAAGAATTCCAGCTTTGGTATTCACAACTCAGCTGATTCTCCCTGGCATAATCACCTGCTTTTCCCTTTCTTGCCGTAGCCTTTCAGCAATGGATTAGTGACTGTGATGGTTCCCCAGCTGCGGAGGGAAAATAGTCTTCTCTTGTGGAATGTCTTTGACTTGAACACCCCAGTCCATACCTTTGTGGGGCATGATGACGTGGTGCTGGAGTTCCAGTGGAGGAAACAGAAGGAAGGTGAGTGGGAGAGGAGACTGCTGCCTGATTTACTTCTGAGCCCTGTTCATCAGTAGCTCCAGTTGGGTTGGCTGTGTGATCCAGGGAGGAGGATGCAGAAACAGGGCTGGGCTTTGGGACTGGGAGTCAGGGGACCACCATCTTTAGTTGTAGATGGGTACAGTGGTGCATGGCTGTGGTTCTTCCCCCAGGTTCCCTCCTCATCTCTTGTGTTCAGGGTAGTCTTTCTCATGCATGGAAGAGATCTGTAAGAGGTTGATGGGTTTGCTGTTGGATCATTTCTAGGGCTGAAATTCTGGGGTCACTAACCTTAGAAGTCTCTGGCAGTTGCCTCTTGCTCCTCTGTTGATAAGGGAGACCCGAGGTCATCATTAGTACCACCCACTGCATATTCCCAGTTCTCTTCACAACCGCATAGTGATATTTTACCTCCCGTTCCCTTAAAGATCGATTTGGCCAAATGACTTGCTTTGATCATGAAACATGAACAGAAGTGAGGCGATCTTTTCTGGTTGAAGTATTAACAGCCAGTGAGCAATTACACACTCTCTTTGCTTCTGCCACAGCAACTGGCAGAACTCCAGATGGCGCTGCTCCCGTCAGGAGTGAGGATGAGGTGGAGATGTAGAGTGAGCAAGAAATCCTTGCTTTAAGCCACTGAGGTTTTGGGATTGTTTGTTATTGCTGCTTAATCTCGCCAGCCCTCACTAATGCAGAGTTATAAGCATAATGAGTTAGGAAGCCCTCAGCCTCAGTTTCTCTGCCAACTCACCATGCAAATTTAGTTGCAGCCTCTCTTTTCTTGAGATCTTATTGTCATGCTCTCTAAATGTTTTACAGAACAGAGGTGTATTTCTTGGTCTTTCCATATTACAGAAGGAGAGTCAGGCAGAGGAGTGGTGTGGCTTGTCCAGAGTCCCAGGAAAGGACCCTAGTGGACTTGGGGTTAGAGCAATCATCTTATCCCAGCTTGTTTGTGACCCTCACAAGCCTCTTCTGTGAAAGTTTTTGAAGGGACTCTTTTTTGTGTGTGTGAAGAAGATTAGCCCTGAGCTAACATCTGTCGCCAATCCTCTTTTTGCTGAGGAAGACTGGCCCTGGGCTAACATCCGTGCCCATCTTCCTCTACTTTATATGGGATGCCGCCACAGCATGGC